AAATAAGATGAGGCTTATGTCCCCAAAAACTGTACAACTGAAAGCCTGCAACAAAAAAACAAGACACTCCTTTTGTTTGTTGTGAATCATAAAAACCTATTGGAAACCCATCTACAGTGGGACAGGGCGGCAAGTAACCTAGTCGTTAGAGCGTTGGGCCAGTAACCAAAAGGTCAAATCCCCGAGCCCACTAGGTGAAAAATCAGTCGAAGTGCCCTTGAGCAAGGCGCGTAACCCTAACTGCTCCTGTAAGTCGCTCTGGATAAGAGTGTCTGCCAAATGACTTAAATGTATTAGAGAGGGGCTCCATCCGATTAAATGTCTAAATGATGCAACAGCCAGACAGTACATTACCGGCATTCTGGGAACACAGCAGAGAAATGGAATAACAATGAAGATAAAGTCCCTGAAAAGAAGGGATTTAACTTTGAAGCGGATACAGACTGGAGGATTTCAGCCAAACAACAAGAGCACCCTTTGCATGTCCAACATATTTCACTGCACCTATCCAGTGTACCTGACAATAAAACATATTTTGTTTTTGTTTTAATATAATAGCAGAGTAGCCAGGTATAGAATAGCCAGGTATAGAATAGCAGTGTAGCCAGGGATAGAATAGCAGTGTAGCCAGGTATATCATATTTATACAATTCTGAATTGGAGCCAGGAATACAGAAGAGGACTACAGCATTGGTGTACAGTAGCCATACAATTATTTAAGCCAGGGCCAAGAAGGAAGAGCTCTGCTCTGGCATTGTGATTGTCTTCTCTCTTCACATTGACAAGACAACACATCACTGTGATGTAGTGCCCAGTGGAAGGTCTCATGAATGAGGCAAGGCCATAGAGTAAACTGCTGAACCCCTGTCATGTGACAAGGGAGGTGACCATTTGAGGACATTGTAAAAGGGAGTCAAGGGTTCCATTCAATCATCTTTGGTACAAAACAAGGTATTTGCATTCTCTCTAGTCTAGTCCCAGCTAAGATTCGAATAAATGGTATCCAATACATTGAAGCTAGTAAAAAATTGCACTCATTTTATAACTTTCCAGGCTTGAATCTTTAAAATGATCTCTATTAAGGAGACACTTATCGAATTATTATTCGTTAATAAGCAGTCATGTATATCACCTGATTGGTGCAGATATGCCCTTTGTGTCTGTTATTACGGAACGGGTTGATCATGTTACATAATTGTTTTGGGACTTGCTGTAGCCTAAAGTAAACTCATTGACTGACATGTAGTAGTTATAATCCTGGCTAACCTTCTTTCTACAATCTAATGACACACCGTTCTGGAATATGACAGACCACTGTGACCCCGCCCTATTTGCAATGCAAGGAATGTGTTTATCCTACCTTTCAAACTACACCACAAAGTTAGAGTTTTTATTTTGGTGACAGACAATATATATGAGAAGAGAAGGGGTATCCTAAAGCTGTGTACAGTGTACAGAATTTTAAAAAAGTCAATCACAAAATATCTCATCATCAGAGTTGAAAGTAGCCTAAGCTGGTTTGGTCCGGTATGGAGTATACTGGCTAAATAAATAGTTAGTGTACGCCACCGGTAAAACATGCGCCTATCGCAATAATTAAAACATAGATTCCAAGACAATTGTCGGCTATTACACTATTTATCATTACTGCATTTCAGTCGCATGAAAAAATAGGCTCCAAAATGCGGTGTGGTTCGATGATAACGTTGGATGCCTGATGAAGACCTAAGGGTCGAAACGTTGTTATAAACAAATATCACCTGGGAGCATGAGCAACAGTGTGCGGCGTTTTCCTTTCTGTTTTCGATGATAACGCTGACATTTTTCCATGGCAGAGATGAGTGGCCGAGACCGAGAGGCGCGCGGACAGCAGTGTAGGCATCAACTCAGGTTACAAGAGTGTAGGCCTGATGAATGACAATCACCTAATGTCATTCATAACACCTTTTGGCGTATTGTAACTGATGTCTCGTTGTGTTTATCAAATGGCACTGTATGGATTCCGGAATTATTTTAGTGTAGCCTAATAGTTGGTATAGTAACTGAAGTTTTGTCTCGGGAACAGGATTGGAGAAATATGATTAATTTATTTCAGCATCTTGAGAGAATGCGGATGCGCGCGTAGGGACCATATCTTTTTTTTGCCTAAACGTGCAATTTCTTTCAGCGACATAAAAACTGACAGTATTGCGTTTTCAACCACATAAAATATGTATCCAAGACGAACTGAAATACTATCAGAAACATGTTGGATCATTTTCATAACTTTTAATTTCCTTAAAACCGGTCAAACTGATGTAATTTGGAAGTTTTGCACGGAAAATCTCCCTGCTCCTTCAACATCCTCGCGCCATGAGAGAAACAGAAATAAATCTATGGATTTATGTATGACATCATTCTGTTGAGCAAGGCTTTTATTATGTATTCTAGACAAGCATCAAGTAATGACAGAAGAGAAGCTGCATGTTTCTAATTATAGACAACTTGACTAACAAATACCCTACCAAATGTCGGAAATTATAAGCAGAAAAATATCTAGGCCTAAATTAGGCTTAAAAACTATTTGACAAATCTGTAATATTAGGTCCATAGAGATCCGATTAAATTACTAGGGATTATATATGTAATTCAATGATTAGGCCCATAAAAACATTTTTTTATTAAAAGGCGCGTACCGGGAAGAAATTAAATCTACTTTCACACCTGCTCATAATAGATAATAGCATAATTTGTGTTGTAGTAAGCTAGCAGAGGCTATCTCCGGTCTCCACAGTGCAGAGAAGCATGTCAGCACCATGGACAGCGACGAGTTAAATTTAGCAGAGTCACCATAGAGTCCCAGCACACTACTAGATTATTAGATTAGTATTAGGTTATTATTAATACTGTAGATTATTTGAAAAGGGGATGGGCTATCTCCAGTAACCACAGTGCATAGTAGCATTTCATCACCATGGACAGTGACGAGTTAAACTCAGCCGAATCAACATGAAGTCCCAACTTGCTGCTGACTAGAACAAAAGGGTTACCCCACCATCCATCCAACTCTACCAGGGATCACCCCACCATCCATCCAACTCTACCAGGGGTCACCCCACCATCCATCCAACTCTACCAGGGGACACCTCACCATCCATTCAACTCTACCAGGGGACACCTCACCATCCATTCAACTTTACCAGGGGACACCTCACCATCCATCCAACTCTACCAGGGGTCACCCCACCATCCATCCAACTCTACCAGGGGTCACCCCACCATCCATCCAACTCTACCAGGGGACACCTCACCATCCATCCAACTACCAGGGGACACCTCACCATCCATCCAACTACCAGGGGACACCTCACCATCCATCCATCTACCAGGGGTCACCTCACCATCCATCCCTCTACCAGGGGACACCTCACCATCCATCCCTCTACCAGGGGACACCTCACCATCCATCCAACTACCAGGGGACACCTCACCATCCATCCCTCTACCAGGGGACACCTCACCATCCATCCAACTACCAGGGGACACCGATGGAACGGAAGGCAGAACCAACAATGCCGTGTTTAATTGGTGAATTTAAAACGTAGCCTATTGGATATGGGAACACTTGGATCTGACATTATACCTGTGCCTTTACATATACGTCAATGTTCAGGAAGTGTAGCTCAGTGTATATATATATATATATATATATACATATATATATATATATATTCAAATGACACTGCATTGTTTAAACAACACACAATAGAAAGCTGGGCAGTTACTGAACAAACGAGGCAGGTTATGAAAGCTTCCATTTGGCCACTGGGTATCATTTTACCTTGTCAGGTGATGTGAGGATTCATATATTCTCTCAAACAAACATTCTACTGACTTACATTTACCCAAATAAGAATTAAACATTTATTTGCAGCATTCAATCAGGCTCATTCTGTTATTTCTATCAATGCGCAGTATTAGGTAGTTTATATGCAGTCCGATAAATGTCTGTGAGACAGTCAGTCAGTGTGTGCGTGACGATGCATGCACAGCAATAGTTGCAAATAAATAATACAAATATTTATGGCACAATGCCTACACAAGCCCATTAATCACTTATCTCAAACTTTATCCAAATGAATTCCTTAAACAAATAGGCTAAACCAATAAGGTTTATCATACGAGGGATCGTTGTAATGGGTGTATAGCTCCCTAAAAACAAACAGTCAAATTCCATCATGTTTATTTCTGCGCAGTTCTTGGATTTATGTTTGATGGACGTGTATCCCACGTCAGAGCATTTTTGCATTCTATTTTCTGTACATTATTCACGGTTTTGCGGGCGGTCTCCGTTTAACTGTTCAAATGCCAGGTTTTTGAATTCATCTCTTCCCTTGTTATTCACTTGTTCATTTTGATGCGGATAACCAATGTTTAACTCTCTCTCTCTCTATCTATCTATATATAATAGATATATAATATAATATATCGTTTCTCGATAGAATTTACCGCATATGTCTTTTTTCTATCCAGAGGCCATCCTCACTGACCCTCTTCGTTTCATCATTGCAGGCAGTGCTATAACGATATGTTTTCAATCCTGATGTTCCTACATTACTGTCATGTTAAACACAGGTAACGTCTCTTAGGCTTTTATAGAACCGCATATGCCACAAGCAAGACTGTCTTATTGGTGTATTGTGGTGTGAACAATCAGTATTTGTGTATTTAACTCGTGACATTCACCATCCTTTTTCCAAGGACATCTCGTGGATTCATTCTATTGCTTGTCTTCGACATTAGAATAATGCAAACGTCGTAATGGAAAATATGAATACGATCACAATTTGATAGGTAAAACAATCAACGCCTATATAATTGCCTCAATGCAGAAGCAAGATTAGCCTCAGTTTTGGGCGATGCGTAACGCGCACTGATGACAGAGTGGATGTGGTGTCTTGCGGACCTGGCTGTGTGGGTGACCGCATGGGTAAAAAGCTGAGAAGATGACTTTCCACTCCTTACCTAAAATCGCTATAGGGATGAATGATCCAGTATCCAGCCGTTTGGACCCTTTCTTGCTCTTTCTCAACGGCTTTCTGACTGCCGAACATTCGCAGGGAAAACTTATTGACACCTGGCTGCATCATCGCTCCAAATTGCCGCTGCATAAAGCCATGTCGGTTCCCGGACCCGTCTATATCGTCGAACCCGACCAAGGCTTCCTCCCGCTCCCCCTTGAAGCCCACCGAGTTTCCATGGTCCCCTCCTTTCATGTTCTGGCTCCCCATATTATTCTTCTGTATCGAGTCTTGCCTTTGAAATACATTATTCCCATCCGCTTTCTCCCCTTCTTTGTTGCTGGAGAACGAATTTGATTTGTCTTCCATGATTTTCACTAAAACGTACTGTCTCCTGGCTCGGAGGACAGGCTACGCGCAAAACTCAAGAGGACCCGCTGTAAGCACTCCTGTTTCATTTGATGTCCTTCAACTACTCGGCTCCGCTGCCTCCTTTGCAAATGCTGCAAACTGAGACAGACTTCTAGTGAACCTGACAGATCAGGTTTCCTGGGTTACCGCCATCTACCGACTGGACGGGATTTATTGTTCAAGCGCCTCTCTCGCTCGCGCGGCACTGCGGTTTAACAGGCACACTGCTGGCTGGGGCTCGTGCACTTCATTTCCATAATGTGATTAATGATAGAGCTCCCCCTTCCTAATCAGTTTAGTGAATAATATGACCATTCAGCACATGATGATATGAAGACAAAATGAGCCCCTCACTTAAATGACAGATAATATATGAATATTTAATACTAGGTTTATCAACTCAATGCAGAATGCCTTGACAATTATTGTCTCAAAATGCAATTTTGCTTTCCCCAGACTGACATCTATGTGTAGGCTATTACCCTGGTATTATTACCCTGTGATTTATGCATTCAAATCAAATGGCTGCATAATATTCACAGCACAGCAGAGAGCACGCATGCTGTGCTCACACACCACTCTGTGGTGCTGCATCTGTCATCATACATCACATATAGCCTTGTTACTCAGCAGAGGTGAGATGTGGGAGAATGGCATGGCACTGTAGCCTACGGTCTGTCTGTTCATCTATAGTCACCATGTGTAAATCACACCTTTCAACAGTGGTGCAGTATCCTGTCAGATGGACACAGCTGGATATGTGCTATTCTCGTGCTTTTTTTTTTACACAGTAGACCAAGGGGGTCGTGTGCATCAAGCGTCTCAGAGTAGGAGTGCGGATTTAGGACCAGTCTTACCTTTTAGATCACAGTGCATAAGATGACATGGGCACGGGGGGGGGGCTGATCCTAGATCAGCACTCCTACTCTGAGATGTGTGATACCTACAAACCCCAGGTCTACCCGTCTCCTCATATGTTCATATTTCAATCAAAACAAAAAGAACCATTATGGTTGGCTGTTGTTGTTTATCATGTCCAATACCAACAAAGTGTGCATCAATAATGAGTTAATAATAATAAAATAAAATAATAATTGGATAACACCTCAGTCATAACAATGCTGCTTCACGTGCAGGGAGTAGGAGCTAATGTCCACCTTGGCAGTGACAGTGACACCCACACTCTGACTGCGTGATAAATGGCACCCTTTTCCCTATATAGTGCACTACCTTTGACCAGAGCCCTGTGCATTCTGGTCAAAGGTAGTGCACTACATAGGGAACAGTGTGTCATTTGGCATGCACACAGTGACACCTTCAACCCCCTCCATCTCTCCAATCCCCGGGTGTTTAGCATGACGCCTGCCTTTCCCGCCTGCTGCCCCCAGTGTAACATTCACAGAGATTAAATGTGGTTAATTTTGCAGTGATGAACTGTTGTCTTCCTCTCCAGAGGGCACATCATCACACTGAATCAAGCTGCCTCCTGACAGAGCAGACTATAAAGGGAATGGGGACATAGAGAGGGAGTGGGAACAGAGAGAGGAAGTGGGAACAGAGAGAGGAAGTGGGAACAGAGAGAGGAAGTGGGAACAAAGAGAGGGAGTGGAGACAGACAGAGGGAGTGGGGACAGAGAGGGAGTGGGGACAGAGAGTGAGTGGGGACAGAGAGTGAGTGGGGACAGAGAGTGAGTGGGGACAGGGAGGGAGTGGGGACAGAGAGTGGGAAAGGGAACAGAGAGAGTGAGTGGGGACAGAGAGTGAGTGGGGACAGAGAGAGGGAGTGGGGACAGAGAGTGAGTGGGGACAGAGAGAGGGAGTGGGGACAGAGAGTGAGTGGGAACAGACAGAGGGAGTGGGGACAGAGAGAGGAAGTGGGGACAGAGAGAGGAAGTGGGGACAGAGAGAGGAAGTGGGGACAGAGAGAGGAAGTGGGGACAGAGAGAGGAAGGGGGGACAGAGAGAGGAAGTGGGGACAGAGAGAGGAAGTGGGGACAGAGAGAGGAAGGGGGGACAGAGAGAGGAAGGGGGGACAGAGAGAGGAAGTGGGGACAGAGAGAGGAAGGGGTGACAGAGGGAGGAAGGGGGGACAGAGAGAGGAAGTGGGGACAGAGAGAGGTCACAGACACATTCAGTCCTATAAGAGGAGACACCCTGGTCCTCAGCCCAGACCATAAAGATAACAACCCATCGGCTTGTGGGAAATGAACCCTCAGACACAGCGAACAAAAGGCAATGAAAAGGAAGTTACATATTGGGACCGTCACATTTGATTTGGGGAAATGGAGTCCATGACACTTTTTGGCTACAGACACAATATTGACTATCATGGAGCTAGAGAGAACCCTTCAAAGGAAGTTGATTCCCCACGTTGTCGTACCATATATCCACCATACAGCTATAGGTACTTTACAGCCTACCATGTATAGTACCATATGAAGAAGAAGAATACTTTTTTGAATCCATAAGAGATGGAAATTTGTCTTCTGCTGGACTCAAATCAAATGTTATTCATCACTTGCGTCTGGTGTAGACTTCACAGTGAAATGCTTGCTTCCGAACCTTTCCCAACGATGCAGAGTAAAAAAAAAAAAAAAACTATTAAATATTAACTAACACAAGAGGAATAAAATAAAATACACAAGAATGGAGCTATATACAGGGAGTACCAGAACCAGATCAATGTGCAGAAGTACAAGGTATTTGAGGTAGATATGTACATGAAGGCAGGGTAAAGTGACTAGGCATCAGGATATATAATAATAAGGTATTTGAGGTAGATATGTACATGAAGGCAGGGTAAAGTGACTAGGCATCAAGATAGATAATAATAAGGTATTTGAGGTAGATATGTACATGAAGGCAGGGTAAAGTCACTAGACATCAGGATATATAATAATAATAAGAGTAAAATAAAGAACAGAGTAGCAGCAGCAAATTATGAGTGTAAAAGTGTGTGTGTGTGTATGTGTTTGTGTTGTGTTGCTATGCGTGTGTGTGTTATGTGTTTGTGTGTGTATGTAGTGTTTGTGTCAGTGTGTATATGGTGTGTATATAAAGTCTAGCTAGTGTGCGTAGGGTCAGTGCAAGATAGGGTCAGTGCAGATAGTTCGGGTAGCATTAATTGACTATTTAGCAGTCTAGCTATTTAGCAGTCTTATGGCTTGGGGTGTAGAAGCTGTCTCGGAGCCTGTTGGTCCGAGAGCCGATGCTCCGGTACCGTTCGCCGGACAGTAGCAGAGAGAGCAGTCTATGGCTTGGGTGGCTGGAGTCTTTGGCAAGTTTTTGGGCCTTCCTCTGACACCGCCTGATATAGAGGTCCTGGACGGCAGGAAGCTCGGCCCCAGTGATGTACTGGGCTGTCCGCACCACCCTTTGTAGCGCTTTGTGGCCAAGGGCGGTGCAATTGCCATACCAAGTGGTGATGCAGCCAGTCAAGATGCTCCCAATGGTGCAGCTGTATAACTTTTTAGGATCTGAGGGCCCATGCCAAATCTTTTCAGCCTCCTGCCGTGCCCTCTTCACGACTGTGCAGGTGTGTGTGGACCATGTTAAGTCCTTAGTGATGTGGACGCCAAAGAACTTGAAGCTCTCAACCCATTCCACAACAGCCCTGTCGATGTGGATGGGGGCGTGCTCTCCCCTCTTTCTCCTGTAGTCCATGTTCAGCTCCGTGGGCTTACTGACTTGAGGGAGAGGTTGTTGTCCCGACACCACACTGCTAAGTCTCTGACCTCCTCTCTGTAGAATGACTCATCGCCATCGGTGATCAGACCTACCACCGTCGTGTCATCAGCAAACTTGACGATGGTGTTGGAGTCATGCGCAGCCACGCAGTCGTGGGTGAACAGGGAGTACAGGAGGGGACTACCCTCACCACCTGGGGCTGGCCCGTCAGGAAGTCCAGGAAGTCCACGATTCAGTTGCAGAGGGAGGGGTTCAGTCCCAGGGGACCTAGCTTGGTGATGAGCTTGTAGGGGACTATGGTGTTGTACGCTGAGCTGTAGACTATGAACAGCATTCTCACATAGTTATTTCCCCTCTTGTCCAGGTGGGAGAAGGCAGTGTGAAGTGCAATTGAGTTTGCGTCATCTGTGGATCTGTTGTGGCGGTATGCGAATTGGAGTGGGCCTAGGATGTCTGGGATGATGGCGTTGATGTGTGTCATGACCAGCCTTTCAAAGCACTTCATAATTACAGGTCTGAGGGCTACATTGCGATAGTCATTTAGGCAGGTTACCATGGAACTCTTGGGAACAGGGACAATGGTGGTCATCTTGAAACATGTTGGGATTACAGACTGGGACAAGGAGAGATTGAAAATGTATTTGAAGACACCTGCCAGCTGGTCTGCGCATGCTTTGAGAACGTGCCCTGGTGTTCCGTCTGATATTTACCCTGTTTAAAGGCTTTGCTCAGATCAGCCACGGAGAGCGAGATCACAGAGTCAAGAGGAAAAATACGCAAGGCACAGTGTTATATTCCTCGAAAGCAAGCATAAAAGGTACTGTATTTATCTTGTTCGGGAGTTTTGCATCGCTGGGTAACTCATGGCTGTGTTTCCCTTTGTAATCCGTTATCGTCTGCAAGCCCTGCCACATACGACGGCGCCGGTGTAATAGGATTCCACCTTCCTCCTATATTGTCCTTTTGCATGTTTGATGTCTTGTCGGAGGTCGTAGCGGGCTTTTTTGTACGTCCGTGTCTTGTTCCTTGTAAGTGGTAGCTCTTTAACCCATGTTTTTGGTTTGGATAGGTTCTTATAGTCACTGTTCGGACTTATTGATGAAGCCCGTGACCGTTGTGTTTAACTCCTCAATGCTATCAGATGAATCCCGGAACATATCTCAGTCTGTACTAACAGTCTTTTAGCCTCGTGTCTGCATCATCTGACCACTTCCATATTGAGCGCATCACTGGTACTTCCTTTTGTTTGTAAACAGGAAGCAAGAGAATGG